TGATAATGAGAAGGAGGAGGAGGAGGAGGAGGAGGAGGAGGATGATGATGATGATGATGATGATGATGATGATGATTATAGTACATGGCTGGATGGGTGGATGGATGGGTGGTATTTGTATAGCGTAAGTTCTCGCTCAAGTAAGGAAAATTTGTTTAAAGTGCCTTTTTCTCAAAAACAATACGACGTCGGATCTGAGGCTCGAACCCCCGAACCCGCAACATCACGATTACAGCGAGTCTGGTAGCCCAACCACTAGACTGAGGCAGCTTTAACCCGTTTTATTCGCGCATGGGGCGAAGTAGATCTATTGCGTGCTTTGTGAGGTGGTTCGTCGCTTTTTACAGGTTTTGAATATTTTATAACGTGATTTGTTTCGTCCATTCTTTACATATCGTTTGGAAGTTTTATTACGTTCTTCATTTCTTCCGTTTGTTACATGTTTTGAATGTTTTAGAACTTGATTCATGTATTGAGAGTTTTACAACGCAAGTTTTCCCCCACTGCATAGAAGATTTTATAGCGTGATTCGTTCCTTCCATTATTTCCTGCAGTAAAAGTTATATACGTTGGCTGCAGTGAAAACTTTAGAATTCGTTCATGTATTGCCTGTTATGTGGTAAAAGTTTTAGAAAGTGTTCCGTCATGTATTACGTGAAATTTAGGCCAATCATAATATGTGCAGCGTAGAGCAAATGGGATGAAACATTTTGTATAGACGTAACACTGTCGTATTCTGAATAAGGTGGGGGGGGGTTATATACATAATAATATAATCTTTTTTTTTTACGAAGAACGGATACATTTTACAAGAAAAAGCAGTGTCCTAACTCTTCGCTGAACATCATTTCTGTTAGACCAAATTCAAATAGCGCAGCAGACGACGGCATTTCATGTTATATCTATTTCATTTTTACATGTATTTAATTTGTTTATTTATCGTTTTAACTCTTTTTCTCTGTCTATCAGAATTGATTGATGCATCCAAAAGAGGAGAAATCCACAAGGTTAGTGCTTACGATTAATTTGGCTTGTCCTTTTGGGGTTTTTTTGGTTTGTTTTTGGGGTTTGTTTGTTTGTTTGTTTTGGGCGGTGTTTTGTTTTGTTGTTTTATTGTTCTCTGATGTTTGGTTGGGTTGTTTTATTGTTTTTATTTTGTTTTTGCCTATGTTTTTTTTTTTTGGCTTTTTGTTGTTGTGAGGTCTTACTTTGGCCGCATGTGGAAATCTGGTGTAATCTGGGACAGGATTTGGAAAATATGACAGCTGGTTAGGTTTTAAAAAAAGTTTTAGTAAAAGTTTTACGGCACTTGCATCACAATAAGGTCATAATAAGTGCCGAAGATTAGAGGTTTACAAGAAAGTAACAAACACAAAAAAGAAGGAGAGAGAAGGACGATAGATGTTTAATTGGAAAGAAGGAGCAAACTACACCAGAGCACCCGCCAACGGCCCACGGTAAGGGTTTGTTTTGCGGGGATGGAAAGGGGGTTTAGGGCGACTTCTGGGGATCAGTTTGGTCTTTTCTTGCACTTGTTTGGGTGATGTTCCGGGTTTCCTTTTTGTTTTTAGATTCAATGTGTGTGTCTGTTTGTGTATGTGCGTGCGTTCGTGTTTGTGTCTGTGCATATGTGTGTTTGTTTGTGTGTGTGTGTGTGTGTGTGATTGTG